AACAGGGCAAAGTTCCGCCTTCTGTTTTGTCAGCAGTCGTTCGCTTGGTGGGATGAGCAACTCCCTGGCCGATTCCTGTAGTCCCTGCGATCGGCCTCACTCTACTTCACTTCGCAGGAATAGGTGGGGCACTAGCCTCAAAGCAGCCTGCGAACTCATATCCTTCCCTTTGTTGGCCCAGCCGAGAGTGTGACAATGCCCTCGGCTAGCCCGTCAGTGAACCATCTCGTCGCCGCAGGAGCCTCACCAATCCTGCCTCTTCGTTGGCATAAGCCGACTTGCTCAGGTAAGTTTTTTTTTTTTTTCTCTCTCTCCCCCTCTCTTTGCGATCTTCCCCCGCTGGTCCCTCACCCACCTTAGTTAGGATGAGCAGAATCTGAGTGAACTTCCTACCAAAATCCGAGTAGGTTCATCCGCTCACTCCATCGCTTCGTGCGGCCGCATTTGCTCACACTAACTATCTTACTAACTTACTTCAAAATCTGACCAAGTCATTGCTCTTGCCCCGTAAAAAAAAAACCGCTTTACATCTTGATTTACCCAGAAGGACTACGGGATGATCAACGTACGTCGTTTTTAGTCCCTCCATCACTCCTCCCCGACGCTTCTTCACAGCTCGTTTTGCTTCTCGCGCCAAAACTATTACCCCATTACCAAATCTGACGCCACCATTCAACTCGCGCCACCCCAAAACCCCCGCCTACCATTTTTCCTCGCTCGTTTTGATCAAGAAACGAGTGGGATACAACCTTTCTCGTTTCCTCCTTTTAATTTGTTTTCGAATGTACCTAGCGCGAATCCACGTCTAGGTTCATTCGAGTTTTCTTCCCTTCATTGCCGCTCTCTCCGACGCCACCACGCCCCGTTCTCCCCATCCAGTCCTCATATTCGAGGTCGTCTCGGCCTAAAGCCTCCGGGACGAGCCCTCCCTCATTCGAATTCGCTCAAGGATGAGCGAGAACATGTTCTTCTCCTCTCCTTCCCTTACCTCCGCCATAGCTCCGCGGACCTTCCCTTCTTACTAACTCTTATTCTACTCTACTAATTCCAAAACTAATGGTGCCACTAAAATCGTAATGCTCGAACATCCCAATTTACCCCCTCGTCCCGCTCGATCCCGTCGAGAATCGAACGGGGAATCACGGTTTCTCCATCCTACAATAACCGGCTCCCGCCATAGCCCACGTACTAACTTGTCAACTAACTCTTTATTCACTAACTTTCACACCAATCTAAGCTTCCCAATGAGGTCGCCCTGCCTTCAAAACGCAGATTCGGCTTTCACCTCACCAGAATCCTTTAAGTATCGAGAGTGCAAACACTTTCCACTCTTTCCTTTCTCCATACCTCGCGGAGCTTATTTTCTCTACTAACTCCTCTCCTATTGACCATCTTCTAAATCTAACCTCGGATTTGGATTCGCTGGCCCAGATAACCCTCATAACCAGCTTTCATTCGTCTGATTTCGTGGAGGGGGGGCGAACCACCAATTTTTGACAGCGCCCGACTCCCCGCTCCGCCATCTCCATTCACGACTGTACTTGGCGCCTACTACCGTCCCGGTTTATCCTTCCGCTATCAGCCAGTCGCTTCCCAATCCGCCCGCCCGTCACTCCGCCCTGGCACCTTCCCTTCGCTCAGCACTCCCGCCCGTCACCTCTGGCTCATTCCCTCGTCTCCTCCGCCACCTCATCTCTGAATGTACCCGGCCCCCACCCCCGTCCGGGTGCAACCCCTCTCTCTGCGCCCCACCTTCTGCTAACGCACCCCAGCGCTCCGCCTGGCCAGCACCCGCTCTCCTCTCTCCCGACTGTACACTTCGCCTGTCTTTGTGCCGACCTCAACAGCGACTAACTCCTCGAAACTCTGACAGCGCGACAGCCGGCCCGACGAAAACCGAAAGAAAAACGAGTAAACGAAAAACACTACTCCCAACTTATGCGTGCCATCCTAGCGCAAGGGCCATGCTAATCTTCTCTGTATCGTCCCAGTTTTAACGGATATCCCGAAGGACCTAGCCTGGGCCATGCCCTGCGGCACCGCAAAGCCCGGGCGAGCCCAGGCAACTCAAGATATTTGGTCTCCCCCATTGAGATCCTTCCCCTGGGGTCAAACACAGGTCTGTATTTCAACAGTTCGAGGTTGTATCCACTGAGATGGGGTCTCGGGGTCCCGTATCCTCCACAGCTTTGCGTCCCAATACGGGACGCGAAAAATAAAATAATCTGACATGGAAAATAAGAATCAGGTAAATAAATAAAACTAAGATAAAAAACAAACAGAAATAGAAGAAAAAAATATGGAAGCGTCGGGGAACCATTAGGGCTACTCGCACCTCGCCAGTCCCGTGACTCGGGCCCGCCGCCATGCCTACGGACAAAAACCGAGGGGGATAGCCCCACCGGGCCCTCAACCCCATCGGTTCCTTCCGCAACGCTCCGCTGCAGTTGCTGCGCCGATGCCCGCTGGCCTCGATCCCCGAACCTTCGTCTCCCGAATCCAATGTCGTAACCAATAGGGCTAAGCCCAAGCCTGGAGTTAGCCTGCGCGAAACCCAGTCTAAGGTGATGCAGCGCAGTGCCTAGGCCCAAAAAACGGCCTGGGCATCGTCCCCGCCTGCACCCCAAACCCACGACCGCTAAGTATTTGCGTCGGCCTACCCAAACCATGCCATAGCCAGGGTTGTCACGGCCCCGGCCCCGGGGGTCCGGGGTAGCCCCGAGGGTTTGGTGCAGTGGTCCCCTGACCTCGGGCCGGGAGGGGTAAAAAAAAAAAAAAAAAAAAAAATCCAAAAAAAATCCAAGAAAATATTAAAAAAATTTGGTGGGGTGCGCACCGCTGCCAGGCACCCCCTGGCGCTTTCTGCTATTTTGCAGAAAAGTGCCCCCCTGGGCCACCCCACCGGGGTCCCCCCACCCCGCTGG